ACTGAAATACACTGCTGAGGGGAGTAGCGGGTGAGACAGGAGAGGTCTGCTGTGCCATGTGGGTTGCTCCCTGCCCAGGGATCGAACTCGTGCTGCAGAGTCTGTGGTTAGCTTCATAGGTTGCGTCTTAGATTTAAAGTATCCTTCCTTCTCTCTTCCATCCACGCTGGCCCAGGCACTGGGCCACCACCATTTCAGGTTCATTCTTTCAAGTTCAACGTGGTCCTCATCATCCTCTCCATTCTGTTTTGTCTTTAAGAATTAAATATCAAGTCCTTTGTCTAGGTAGAGGTTTTTGAACTTTTGACCATAACCCATAGTAGGAAGTACATTTTACATCTGGAACCAGTTTATACCAAAACTCATACCAAAATTCATAAAGCCTATATCATTTTTACAAATAGTAATAAATTAACACTTAACCTAGGAAATTTCTGCTACAGAATGAAGCATTCTTCTGAGTCATTAGTCCTATGGCTCATGGCTTTACAAGTTTCTAACAATATACCCTTATTACAAATGATAGATGGATCTCCTTCATTCTACTCCACTTTTTTTATGCTGGTAACCCATTAGATCACAATACAATGATTGATCTCTCTTAGTAGCATGTAAGCAATTCTATATTCAGACTACCTAGATTCAACTACCAACTCTACCATTTGTAGACTGTCAACCTCTATGCCTTTAGTTCCCATGTCACAGAAATAAGAACAGTATTTTCCTCAAAATTGAGAACTGCCAAAGACCATCCACATAAAGCACATAGAACATAAAATTTATTCAATGCATGGCTTTTAATAATTCTTTTTTTTTTTAGAGTCTGTTTTGGTTTTTTTTTAAAGATTTATTTTTTTTAATTAATTAATTTATTTATTTATACATGCACTGGGTACAGTCAGAAGTGCGGGAAGGTGAGAGAATTCACCGAGCCAGAGCGGGGAGCAGAGCAGGCAGAAGGACCGAAGTACACTGCTGAGGGGAGCAGCAGGCGGCAGGAGAGGTCTGCGCGCCATGTGGGACCCTCCTCTGGTGGCCGGGGAGCAGCCGGGGATCGAACTGGCGCCCCAGAGGCCACGGGCAGCTTCGCAACCCAGCGCTCAACTGCTGCACTACCGGGGAGGCCCATGGCTTTTAATAATTCTTAAGCATAGAAAGTCCCAAAGACTTCAGTAAAAAAAAAAAAATTTTTAGAAAAAATAGAGAACTAACAATATGGCAAGCTACAAAAATAATATTCAAAAATCTCTTGAATTTCTATATGTTAATAATGTTCAACAGAAGGAGAAATCAGGAAAACAATCCCATTTACAATTGCATCAAATATAATTAAATACCTTAGAACAAATTTAACCAAAAAAGTGGAAGACCTTACACCAAAAACTTTAAGACTGTGTTGAAAGAAATAGAAGACACAGAGGGTCTCCCTAGTGGCACAGGAATTAAAGTCTTAGTGTTATCAAGCTATCAACAGCCACTATGGCACGGGTTCAATCCCCAGCCAAGGAGCTACCCACATATGGTGCAGCAGACCTCTCCTGTCTCACCCACTGCTCCCCACTCCCCTCAGCAGTGTATTTCAGTAGATCTGCCTGTTCTGCTCCCCACTCTGCCTCTGGTGAATCCTCTTGCTCCCCACACCTCTGGCCTACACCCCAGTTCTTGTATGCATAAATAAATAAAATAAATCCTTAAAAAATTGTAAAAAGAAATAGAAGACACAAAAAAGATGGCAAGATAGTCCATGCTCAGATTGGAAGAACTAACATTGTTAATTACCTAAAGCAATATGCAGATTCAATGCAATCCCTATCGAAATCCTAATGACATCTCCACAGAAATAAAACAAAAAATAATGAAATTTATTTTGAACTACAAAAGAACCCAAACAGCAAAAATGGAGGTATCATGCTCCCTGATTTCAAACTCCCCTACAAAGTAATAATAATTAAAACAGCATGATATTGGAATGAAAATAGATAAATGGATCAATGGACCAAAATTGAGAGCCCAGAAATAAAGCCACACATATTTGGACAACTAATTTAGGACAAAAGCGCTAAGGTCATATAATGAGCAAAGAAAATCTTTTCAATAAATTCTCTTGGAAAAACTGGACAGTCACATGCAAAAGAATGAACCAGATCACTAACACCAAACAAAAGAAGTAACTAAAAATGAATTACAAACTTGGATATAGGATCCGGAGCCATAAAATTCATAGAAGAAAACATAGTGAAACATACTTTGACACTGACCATAAAGATATATTTAGGGAACCAACTCCAAAGATAAGGTTAACAAAAGCAAAAATAAATAAATGGAACTACATAAAACTACAAAGCTTCTGCACAGCAAAAATAAAGTAGAAGTGCCATATGATCTAGTTATTCAACTTCTGGGTATTTACCAGCAAAACTATAAAAAAAAAACTAATTCAAAGTGATTAATGTACCCTCACATTTACTGCAGCATTATTTACAATAGCCAAGAGCTAGAAACAACCTAAGTGCCCACCGACAGAGGAATGGATAAAGATGTGGTATACACACATCAGAACACCATTCAACTGTTAAAAAAAAAAAGATGAAACCCTGCCATTTGCAACAATATGGATGAAACTAGAGGGTATTATTGTGCTATAAGTCAGGAGGAAGATAAACACGATAAACACCATATGATTTCACTTACATGTGATATATAGAAAAATAGATGAACTAAGCAAAAATAAACTTTTAGACTAAAAGACCAATTAGTGGTTACCAGCAGGGAATAGGGAAGTGTATAAGGGGACATTTGTATGGTGAAGGGTAGAATGGACTTTTTTATTGGTGAACTTAATGTTGTATATACATTTTCATGAGGCACACCTGAAATTCTTATAATGTTTTAGTGCAATATTATTTCAATTTTTGAAAATGGGGGAAAGTGTCTTCAATGACCCATGGACTTTTGAAAAATTGTGGTATAACATACATACATAAAATGCATCTCTTGCTTCATTTTAAAGTGTACTATTCAGTGGTATTTAATACATTCACGATGTTGTAGAACCATTACCACTATCTAGTTCCAGAATATTTCCATCATCCCAAAAGGAAACTCCCATTAAGTAGTCACTCCCCATTTCACCCACCTCCCCAGACTCTGCTTTCTGTTGATAAGTGCATGGACTTTTTAATTAATAAATTAATACTTAACTAGAACAGTTTTCTAAGGTAGAGTGAAATGTTTTTGGGGTTTTTTTTGAGTCATTAATCCTAAGGCTCATGAGACAAACTTCTGCTAATCATTGCTTAAGTAAACATTGCTTATCACATGAGATAATTCTGTGACCTGAATTGGGGTCAAAAATCCCTCCCTCCTTTGAATTCTGTTAGGGTAAGATTCCCAAAGCCTGAAGGATACTCTGGCACAGAACATTTTCTCCGTCTGTCTACAGGTGGCAAAATGAGCTAGATTCTGAGATGTTTCTTCACTACATCGTGGAATGCCACTGAATGATAGACTATTCACCTAATAAAGAATGTTTATTCTTTATTCATGGCATTTAGAAACTCTACTTTGAAACTCCAACCTTTTGCCATTAAGAGGTTAAAAAAAAAAAAAGCAAACTTGGACACAGATCTAGAGTTTCATTTCCAGGCTTCAGGATGTAGTATTATTTCCTTTTTGAGCTCCACCCTTCTCACTCACTGATTTCCACCCTTCCTTTTGGGTGTACAAGGCTGGGTAAAAATAACTTTGTTCTTCCCTGGATCTACTCGGGGAGTTGCCAGAAACTAGATCAGAGAAGTAACTGAGGCAGGGAGCTTACCTTGCTGGGAAGCACAGCAATTCTTTGAGAAATGGGGAAAGCAGAAGGTTTCTTAGGCCAAAGAAATGTCACCAAGAAGCAAGAAAGATATGAACCGGACACAAGTCTTAGCCCCAGCTGTAAAAGCCAGAAGCTTTTCTTTCTCTCTCTTTTTAAAGACCAACAGCACTCACCCAGCAAATCTGCAGCAGTGTCTCATTTTCCATTTCCCAGTCCACTTTCTCCTCCCTCAGCAGTGACAGCTTGCGCCCCCTTGAGTGAGAAAGTCTGACCGCCCCGACCGCACTGGGCCAACCTGGCTTGTGGGGCACGTGCAGAGGTGGGGGCAAGTAGGGAGATGCGATTCTGAGTTTCAGAGGGGGTCTCCAGGTAGGAGTCTTATATTACGTTGGGGTGTTGGGGGAAAGAATGGGGAAGACTTTAAGCAGCAGACAAGCGCAAGAAACCACAAGCCCCAAACTCTGGGGAAGCCCGTGCCAAGAAAAGTGCCAAATTCTGGAAAAAAGCCTCAGCTGTAGTGGACTTGAGACGGACAAAAGGGATTACAACTCTCTGAAGACCCGGGGCCCTGGCAGGTCAGTGAGAGCGCGGGTCTCAGACCTGGCAGTGAAGGAAGACCCCGGGGCGCTCAAAGCGCACGAAGCAAAAGCTTCACCCAAGACCTATCAAAATGTGGGATCTCAAAAAAGGAGACCTAAAAGGTCAGCACCACCAGCGGCAGGCGATCTTTATCAAGGGTAAGTCTGGGTTCCACAGGTGCCTCAAGCATCCGGCCCGGGGCGCTCAGGCGAGAATGGCGCAGGGCAGTAGCTGGGGAGATGTGGGGTGGATAGCACAGTGATCGCGAGCCCACCAGCGCAAGACCCCTGCGTGCAAGGAGCTGGGAGGACCCCGCGATCGACTGCTATGGGTACCCCCGGGGGAGAGGCCAGGACCCTGAGATCGGCTGCTATGGGTACCCCCGGGGGAGAGGCCATGGACTCTCTGGGCGCCAGATATGCGCCCCACGTCGGGCCCTTGCCTTAGGAAAGCAGCTGGCCCACGGCCTAAGGCGGGGTTCGGAAGGTGACAGCACTTGGCTCCGGGAGAAGAGTGTGGCAACTCGGGAAACTTCCCAAAGCGCCTCCCCCGCGCCCCGCGCGCAGAAACAGCCCGCGCGGACCCGAGTGGCGAGCACACTGACCCGAGATGGTCTCCTGGTAGCCCTTGGTGAAGAACTGCATGGCCGAGGCCGCCCTCCAGGGCGTCTTGAGCAGCCCCTGCCGCTGGGGGTCCTCGCCCAGAGACCTCAGGATGGACGAGTAGGCGGTCACCAGGTCCGGGAAGTTAATATCATTAACCACCTCTATGCGGGGCCGCTCGCCCGACCAGCCTTCCACCGGCTGAGGACTCTTGGTCTCCCGCCGCGGCGGCTTTTCCGCCGATCGGCTCCGCTCCGGCCGCTGCGGCTGGCCCTCGGGAACCCCATTGCTGCACCTGGCGCCCCGCGGTTTGGCCGCCACCGGGCCCTTCTCCATGGACCCGCTGCTGCTCGGGGGGACCGTAGCGCACTTCGGGGGCTGCCACCAAATTTCGCCGGCGGCCGTGGGCAACAAGCTGTGACCAGAGTCTCCAAAGGAAGGAAAGTGACCCAACACGGACTCTCCCAGGGCCACGGACAGCGGGAGGTTGGAGAGCGCGGCAGCACCGCCTTTTTATGGGCCGGCTCCTCGGCCGGCCCCCGGGGCGTTTCCATTGGCCGAGGCCCCTCGCGTCACAGCTTTCGCCCCGACCCGGTCCGGCCCTCCGCCCGCGCCTGTGCGGCTCCTCGGGGCGCTGGGTGGGGAGACAGACGCGGGCTCGGGCGGTGACGGCCTCCCTGGCGCGCGCCTCCAGCGCCTGGCGCGGGGGACGAGTTAGACTGGCAGGTGGTTGCAGGAGGAACCGATCCCGGGAGAAAGCTGGTGTCCCGGGAGGGAGACTCGGCAGGGGGAGGCACGGTCTGGACCCTTGTTCTGGTAGAGCCCAGAGGACCGGGCGCCAGAAGTGCACTGGTCACCTCGCCCTCTGAAAGATGGACAGACAGGTGGTCTCGCCAAGAGAGACGGGGTTAGGCTGTGGGTAAGAAAAGCAGCTCTTCTGCTTTTAAGATAAGAGAATAAAATCACTCGAAACCCCTGGTGTTCATTAGTTTGAGTTAGGTCCAATGCACCTGCCACCTACCAGAATCTTCTGATACGGTCGAGAGGTTATTATACCAAATGACTCTAATGCGAGTCCCTGTGTTTAAGAGGGTGGTGTTTGTAGTGGCCAGAACTTTGATCCAGGAGAAATTGTTTTGCAAGCGATAGAAAGTTAGGACTTTTCATTTAAAACAAATGCAAATATGGAGATTTGGTGCTCGGTTGTTTTAGAGTGACGCGTTGAACTTCTTTTCCCAGGTGTTGGTACAAATTGTGAAATGTTATTGATCAAGTGGACTCTTAACAAGTGACATTTGCTTTGATTGTTTTCTTTTGAATTAAAAAAATGGACTTTTTTCTCAACTGAGGAATTATTTCATGTCAAAGGTGAGCTATAAAATGCATCAAATTAATGTCTTGCGATTTTCTCCAGAGAGTTTCTGGACTTCTGCAGATTTTCTTACATAGAAACAGGTATTGATAGACTTAATGTCAAACAAACCAGCAGGGAGACCACGGGAATAGTTCTATAATAATAAAGTAGCTAAGTTATTACAATTTCATTAGTGTTTATTTGATATCTGCCCCAGGCATAGCCCCATTCTAAACATTCAGGAAAGAAATATGGAAATTGCCTGGCCTTCTATACACCTTTAGTATAAAATAGAAGAAATATTTGTCACTGTTTTGTTAAGATAGTTATTGAATTTCTGCATACATTCAATACCATGTTGCATAAATCAAGAAATATGAATATACTTTAGGAAGCCTCTTTGTCAATCTAGTATTTATTGTAAGACCTTCTCACCTCCCATCAGCAAGATCTGGCAACATTTTCCCCTCTAACTGCACTACCCATTTTCCATTCATACTTCTTGGTTAGAATTAACCACTGGGTCTCCAGCTGTTTCAAACATAATTTAGACAACATTGAAAGATGGCCATGTATATAACAAGTAAAAACAAAAATAGCAGGTGAGATGCTTTAAAAATGGAGGTGCTTTCAACAAGATTTAGTGTATGAATGGAATATTACTCAGCAATCAAAAAAATAAACTCATACCATTTGCAGCAACATGGATGGAGCTAGAAGGAATTATGCTCAGTGAAATAAGTCAGAAGAAAAAAGAAAAATATTGGATGGTTTCACTTATAGCAGTAATATAGGGGAACCAAATAAGACATCAGTGTAAAAAAATAATAACAGTACAAAACACAGCAAAGCAAAAATAGACAGCTATAAATCAGAGACATACTGCAGGGGAGGAGGAGGGAGAGGGATCAAAGGGAGGGAGGAAGGAGCACAGGGGACTGTGGTGATGGTGCATTGGTGCCTTGGGGAAGGAAATTCTATGGGGACTCAATCTGAGGGGGGAAGCAAATATTGTTTAAAATTTTTTTAAAAATTACAAAAACAAAATAAGATGGCAAAAAGGAAAAAAAAAAGATTTAGTGTCTATGTAGCAATTTTTGCCTTCCTTTAAAAGCACTTGTAAATATTAATACAGTATTCCCAAAGACAATTTCTGATGAAATTTTTACCCTGAAAATAAACATTTTTCACTGTTGCTAAGGCATTTATTCTATACTATATTTACTTGTAAAATGAAACAATGCCTTTTAGCCAGATGTCCAAAGGTAACACAAAGTAGTTTTAAAAGTGCCAATATTATATAAACAGTTAAACAGTGAAATTTAGGTAGTTGTCAGGGATGGTTATAAACAGAAAATGGGAGAAAAAGGATGAATAAACTAAAAGAAAGGGATATATACCACAGAATTTATTAGCATAAACTGGTTTATCTTATACTATGGGTTTTCCAGCCAGAAATTGTAATGGCTTCCATGTTTCTAACCCAGTAAGTGACCCCATTTTTACCTGGAACCCAGTCTGGGAGTTCCTTTCTACTAAAAGCCAAGGAATTTTTTTTTATTTTCCCATTTCTAATTTCTAGAGCAGTAGTAGAACAGAAAAGCAACTGAGTAAGAATCACAGTGTCAACAATTGAACACTTCAGGGATACAGAAATGTGCAGAGTAGTCAATTGCCAAGGGGAATGGGTAAACTAGCATTAGGTACTTAACAATGGTGACTGGAAAAACAACTTGCTTTAAATGTACTTGATGAAAGTTCTATATTTGAAATTCAAACTGTAAAGGAGATTCTACATCATAGTGAAAAGGTATACAAGAAAAATGTCCCTGTTCCCTTCCTAACTTCCAGAGGCAGAGCTACAGAGTAAATGGAATCCTGAAAGGTCTCACTATATCCTCCAAATGTAGGAAGAAGCAAACTGAATAGTAGCCTTCAACTTTCTTCTCTTTTGTCTCCGGAGGAATGGAATCACTTTTGGAGAGAAAATGGAACACTAAGTTGACTCTCTGAAGTGAAAGGAAAGACTCAAGAATTCCACATATAGGGGCTTCCTGGTGGTGCAAGGGGTTAAGCACTGAGCTCTGAAGCAACCCGCAGCCTCTGCAGCATGAGTTCAATCCCCGGCTGGCTGGGGAGTAATCCACATGGCGCAGCAGAGCTCTCCTCAGCAGTGTATTTCAGTCAATCTGCCTTTTCTGTTCCCCGCTCTGTCTCTGATGAATTCTCTCACCCCCCACACCTCTGTCTCTGATGAATTCTCTCACCCCCCACACCTGGCCAGCACTTCTATGCATAAATAAATAAATATTTTTTAAAAAAAGAAGAATTCCACTTGTGATAGAGGAACTATTCAAAGTCTAAGAGTACCTCACAAGAGAGGAGTAGACATACCATGAATAACACATATCCCTGGTAGAAGATCTCTAATGCCATCTTTATGGAATGGGCAAATGCTAAAAAAGAAAAAAAGCACTGCTAATAGAGAATGCAGTTTATTGCGGCTGAAGGCTGTCCCAATTTTCACAATCCCTCATGGAAGGGACATAACACAAACTCTTAAATCTGCAAACTGTAGCAGAGTCAGGGAAACACATGGGCTTCTACTGTAATAGAGAACACAAAGAAGTCGTCCTCAATAGTATCAGGCATTGACAGGAAGCAGAGAAACAGCATGGCAACTGTGCAAACATGCAACAGTCAAATAAAACAAAATTAAACAAAGGGGGAAAATGACACACCATGTAGACACATAAAGAAAAAGCATGCAACTGAGCAGAAAATAGAGCTCATAGAACAGAAAAAAAAATCCTTACAAATATTTATGCAACAGAACAGTTTAATAAGAACATGAAATCAATAAGACAAAAACTAGGTAATAAAATAAGAGTTGAAAAGAAGTTGCAGCTCAAAGGAAATAAATTGAGGACATCATTACTGTGGAATGTACTGGAAAGAACCGTGTACAAATAGACAGTATTGAAAATTTAATTACTGACATCAAGAAATGCATGAGAATGAATGTAGAGTAAAAGACAAAGATGAAAGTTATTAGAGAAGACAGATAATGTAACATAATATCATTAAGGTTCCTGAGGTAGGTAACATAGGAGAGAGAACACAGTCAAAGATATTCTTCTACCAGAAATAAAGCCTTATATTTATGTCCATTGATTTTCCACAAGGATTATCAAGACAGTTCAATGGGGGTAAAGAAGAATCATTAAGACAATTAGATATCTACACGTAAAAGAAATAAGTTGGATCTCTATCCCACTACATATTCAAAAATTAACTCAAATAAATTAAATACCTCAGTGTAAGAGTAAATTATAAAACTCATAGAAAACATAGGCATAAATCTTCATGATCTTGGATTAGGCCATTAGATTTCTTAGAAGTGACACCAAAAGCAGAAGCAACAAAGGAATAAAAAAGGTAAATTAGGCTTCACCAGTGCTTCAAAGGACACTATCAAGAAAGGGAAAAGATAATCCACATGTTGGGAGAAAATACTTATAAATCATACAAATGATTAGTCTAGTATCTTGAATATATAAAGAACCCTTACAACTCAATAATAAAAAGACCCATAGCCTGATCATAAAAGGACAAAGGATTTCAATGGACATTTCACCAAAGAAGATATACACATGGCCAATGAGCACATGGAAAAATAGTCAACTTCATTAGCCATCAGGGAAATACAAATAAAGGTGTAAGTGAATACTACCTCACACCCTCCAGCATGGCTATATTTATTTTTTTTAAGATTTATTTTTATTTACTTGTGCATGTAAGAACTGGGGTGTAGGCCAGAAGTGTGGGGTGTGAGAGGATTCACCAGAGTCAGAGTGGGGAGCAGAACAGGCAGATCTACTGACATACACTGCTGAGGGGAACAGTGGGCAAGATAGGCAAGGTCTGCAGTGTCATGTGGGTCAGCTCCCTGGCTGGGGATCGAACTCATGCTGCAGTTGCTGGAGATAGCTTGATGGTGCTAAGACTTAACCCCTTGTACCACCAGGGAGGCCCTAGCATGGCTATATTTAAAAATAAAGTTAATAACATGTATTTCTGAAGATATGAAGAAATTGAAATCCTCATAAACTGCTGGT